GCTCCATTAGAGAGCGACCCTCTGAGGATGAAGAAGCAATCAGAAGATCTGTATGGCTGGTCTGATTGCACGTTCAACCAGGATCTGAACAACGACGACTCCGGACACGGTGACTTTCTGCAAAGCCCAAGTACTTGTTTGCAGCTCCTTCAGGACTATGGGAGTGCTCACACATGACGTCCTTCTCAGCAACAAAGTCAGCTTAAAAATTCCAACCATTATTTGCCCAGATCCTCAGGGTTGCATCCCTCAGAGCAGATCCCAGGGGCTGCTGCACAGCGGGACCGGGGTGCCCAGGGGCAGGCAGGAACGGACCTTGGGGAGGGACAGGACAAACTCCCACACCAGGGTTGCTGTCAAAAGCACAGGCTGAACCCCATCTTCACAGCACAACAAAAAGCAGCTAGAAATAACTTTTTTTTTCCCTTTGTAAAATTAATCAAGCATGTTCTCCCAGCCACTTCTCCAACATACTGACAAAATACACGCTGGCATATTTAAAAAGGTAAAAAAACAACACATGACAGCTGTCCAGCCATTTAAAATAAATGCTGTTCAACACTTGCAGGACCAAGCTTCTAACCTGCTACAAGAGAAGGAAACGCATTAGGAATATAATGCTTTAGCACCCTTGGTATGAATGTAGCTAGTTCACAGCCAGAACATCACAGGTAAGAAGCCACGTTCCCCCATCGCAGAGCCGCAACTGGCACAAAGAAAGCATATTTCACGTTAGGAAGAATATTCCACTTTTGGTAGAGAGCAACTTCTTCAACACCATCCGCAGAAACTTAATCGCTTGTAGGCAAGATAACCATATTACTTCCCCATTCAGGCACATTTTAAAGTCACCCAAGCATACCTTATCTGATTATTTTTTGCAGTGTTATTCCTATGATTTAATCCCGTCTGAGATCATTAGACACTATGGTACCATAAGTAAGCAATTACAACACTGACCTGTGTTCTAGGGAACCTGGGCAGGCAAGTGCCTTTGTCATCTAACAGAGGGTAATTTTCTAATTTGATTCAGAGCCTCTCTAGAAACAAAGATAATTTAGTTACCCACTAGCTTTCAAGGACTGTCGGAAAGTCTGATTTAAACTTGGATACGCAGTAAACCTTAGAAAAGAAAAAATAAAAAAGAAGAATGTACAGAACGCCAATAGCTGTGTAAGGTGAAACAGGCAATGTTAAATCAGACTTGGTCAGATGGTAAAGTGAGAGAATTAAAGTTAACGAAGAGAAGGGCATAGTCTTTGGGAATACAGCACGTCAACAGGGGAGGCAGATGAAGATTTCGGAAGTTCTCTGGCAGCAGCCACCCACGGCCCAGACAAGAACACTTGAGCATCTCACCGTAACTCGAGTCTCCTACGGGGACTGTAACTCAGTGCTAATTTGCTACAGGATTTTTCTTTTTCCAGACTTTTTGCTTGCTCCAGGTGACAGTAAGATTGAGGACGGTCAAACAAGGAACTTACAAATTAACACAACATGCAAAATCAAAGGTAAAGAAGCTTTTCTACCCTGCAGGGACAGGTAGAAAGGGCAACAGGGCATAAGCATCCTGTTATGAGTGGGACACTGCACTGACTGAGGACCACTGGCTACCAAAAAAGGCCCAGTAATGATGAAGTATCAGGCTGCTGCTTTTGAGCACAGGGGTTTTACTAAAACCAAATTTTTCCAGCACTTTTACTGCACAAATGCAGTTTGCAGTCACAACATGGGAGGACACGTATCTGAAGATGTGGGTGGCACCAGTGTGCCTTTGAGGTCTGCAGTGGCTCTGCAGCTGAGAGCAAGGAGGCCCTGCTGCTCTTTCTGCACCACTGAGGTCCTCCCCTTCCTCATTAAAAAGGACTCTTCGTGGCCATCACACCAACCACTGCACACCTCCATTCCCATCCTGCTCCTCCCCTCCCTCATGTCCCTCTTAATTCCAAGCTCTTCATCTATACAAAGCCCAGCACCAAGGAGCCCTGGTCCCAGTCTGCATGTTGGCACCACTGAGGTAACCACAAGAGTCCTTGCTGAAAGACAACAGCACCCACGAGGTGCTAAGCTTGGAAATGGTGCATCAGAGAAGATATCAAAGAAACAAGATCTACAGTAATCAAACATTACCTCTACTTATTATTATTATTAAAAAAAAAAAATACCTCACAGAACTCTCTTTTTTAATTGAAGACCTGAATTACGCAGGTTCTGCTGGCACCAAAGGCCTCACATAGGTCAGACTCACAGCCCTGCCACTGCCATGCAGAGTCTGCGACTAGTTGGAGAGGGGTAAAAATATGAGTGCTAAAAATAATTTCAGATTCAGCCATATGCTGGGTCATGGAGAGCAGAATCAATGCTGGGTTTTGCTCCAGGCAGATTTATGTATAATAATGTTCTTTCCAAACACTCAACAGCCAATGGAGACAGAAAAAAAAAAAAAAGAAAAAAAAAATCAGCAAAACCAAATGAGCAGACCAAGGTTATGAAATCCTGTAATTTCATAGTATCATCCTAACTTTGAAAATAAAATATGTTATTTCTTGTGGGGGGCAGGGGGGGTGAAAAAAGTCACTATTTGAAATTCCTAGGAGTGGATGAACTTAGGGAAAAACAGTAGTGCAGAAAATATAACTGTAAACAAAAACCCAAACCACTGCAAACAAATGTGCCAGACTGCACTAAAGGCACCCTCCATTACTAAGGTCAAATACAAAGTACCTTTAGGGATGCAATTCTTGCGATGGCAAAACTCCACAGATGGACTCCTCCTCTAAGCATATGTTGATGGGGAGGGATAAGAGCAGCAGATATTATCTGTCATGTGTACTTAAAAGACAAAAATAAGTATACATAAATCATTCTGGCATGCTTAAGAATCCAAGCCTCTTTTCTAAAAGTCCATACTCTTCATACCTGACTTCTGAAAGAAGTGGCAAAAATTCTATAATTAACTTCTTCAGAAAAATCTAAACTCCATCCTTCTGTGCTGAAGCAGATTTCTGCCCTAGTTTGAAAAAGAAGAAGAAAACTGATGTTTAATTGTAAATCCTTAACCTATATAAATATGGAATGGAACAGAAGGGTGACTTCTCTTGCTTGCTGTGTGTTCAAGTCAGGAATTATTAATAAAAGAGCAAAACTCCAAAAGTTATGCTTTTGCAATTCTGCTCCACTCTCCACAAAACATAAAAAGTCTGAGTCATTTATGACCTGAATTATTTATAGCATGGATAAATGTTTGACTTAAATGAATTTCAGCAGAAAAAATCCAAACCATTTTACCCAGACTAGGCTGCTGTTTGTTGGGTTGTTTTTTTCCCTTCACATCACAGAAATGGAAAAAAAAAATTCTCCTGTTCTTTCCTGCGTAGAGGATTGATCAATTCTTTTCATAGCTAGGTATGTCAGTTCTCTCTACTGTGTCGCCAAGTATTTTATCCACCTGGTGTAAAAGAAGTGGAGAATTAATAATAATAATATTGGACTAAACATCTGAATACTGCTGAAGTCCACACAGGAGGCATCCAGGTTAGTTCCTAGCCTTCCTCTCACCTTTCCCTGGCAGGTCCCTGGGAGGAATTTTCCTTAGGCAATTCCCAAGAACCATTAGCAAGCTTTGCCCTCCCGCTCCACACACCCCTCCCCTCTCCAC